GAACCGCTCAGCCTTTGTTTCTTTTTACGTAAGGGAGCAATGACTAAACCATGGGTTTATGTAAGGATTAAGTGAAACAAAGCTTGTAAAGAGTAAGGACGTGATAACTGTTAGCGGCACCCCCACCGCCACCGCCACCCGTGTATGTAAAGCAACTCCTACATTCTTCCAGGTCTCATAATGGACAGACAGTTAGTGTTTAGTCTCTTTCCATGTCCAGCCCGTGTCCCGTCACCAGCCATGCGGTGGATTACTTAGAGTTCCTTCGAGGAAGACATGGTAGAGATGCAGCTCTTTTATCAGAAAAAAATCCCTATAGAGCCACTTATTAAATCTGCAGACTTGATAGTCACATGAAAATCTCTCCTCCCATTTCAGAACTGCATTTGTGCTGACTACTGCGCCACAAATCTCATTTTTCATGATGCTGAAACTCACAATTTCACATCCTGTCACAGCAAATTGCAGTCGAGGATCCCTGTCACTGGAGCATAGGCACAAGACCTATATGTTCCTTGCTCTGACAGCCTCGGTCCAGCACATAAAGGTGACCGGTCATCTCCAAAGACTCCTTTCTGTCTCTTGCTGACTCAGTCTCTAATTGGTTATGAACTGTACAGGGGCAGCAATTTTTCCTCCCTTCAGGAAATGCCAACTTGAGTGGGCGATGTCCTTTTTCTTTGTCTGTACCACACCTCCCCAGCAGAGGAAAGGAAATGCCCCTTGGTTGACGAGGCCATTTTTACACTGACAGTTACAACATACTCCAGCTGCCTCAGCTTCTAGCATGACTCAGTTGGAGTAAACCTTGTTCTTAGTCTCCCCTGCCCCCATGTATACATTTGTAAAAATAGCCACTGACCTCGTGGTGCTGACCAGAATGCGGATTTATTTTTAAAATATCTGCTAGTGTTGCTATTCATCACAGAGCTACCAAGTGTTTTCTGATTCTTCCTTCACAACTTCTATTGCATCTTTGAAAAGCTGCTCATTAGCAGAGTTTCCCTGACTTTATAGTTAAAGAAAATGCCATTATGCACCAAATCCCAACAGTTGTCTGTGATCATTCAAGACGTGTAATTCAGGTCTTTTTACTTATTTTGAATTATGGTCCCAGGTAGGAAAGAAACTGACGAACTCATCACGTTTCTCTTGACGGGACCTCCTACTCTCAAATCAATCAGGGAAGAAATAGAGACCACTGTCTGGTATTGTGTTTCTCCTGAGAAAGCAGAGTTTCGTCCTGAGATAATTTTAAAAGGATCATTCTGTCTGGCATCAGTTACTCCGCAAGTAGAACCTTAACCTCTTGCCAGCAAGTTACTGCGTCTACCTTTGAATTTTACAATCCTCATGTCTGTCTGGACATATGCAATGGCCAGTAACCCTTGCAGACACAATAGTCATGTGAGAAAAGTTGTGTTTTCCACTGTGAATAGACAAATTGTAGGCTTGGTACCTCCGTGGTGTTTCCTTCTAATACTTACTGTCTTGTTTTATACAGCAAGCCAGTTCTTCTAAAGCCCGGTCTTCCTCGTTGTGGCCCTACTGTGTAGGGGAGGGATGGGGGTCAGGAGGCAGGAATGCATGTCCTGGCAGGGAGGAATGTGTTATCATTGAGACATCACTTAGAATTGCCAGGTATGATGATAATGAAAAGCGGGCCTTTCCCCCTGCCCCCCACCCTAGGGCACGCTCTTGCTCTGTTGCAAAACTTGGCAAGTAAATATTCCTTCACTTTTCCTTTTGCTTTAGTTCCTGAGTTTTCCTTTCTTAACCTGCACAGTTATGGGATTGCTCAAGCCTCCAAGGGGACTAGAAAGGAATGGCCATCCCTCCCCATGTTGAGAATAGTCACTAATGGTCATGACTGAATTATGTCCGTTTGTTCCATAAGGATATCTGCCAACACCTCTCCCTTTCTCTGAGGGCCATAGTGTTTATTTTGGTAGTTGGTAACGCACATAAAATTCAAATCAAAATGGAAATAGCCTAGAATAACTTTAAGCCTAGGTGCCAAAATTAGATCACACTCACAAAAACTCATGTATAAGCAAATCTGATCTTTTTAATACGGGGCTTTTACTAAACATTTCTCTCAAGGAACAGGATAATGGCTTAAACTGTGTTTCCTTAATGGGCTGAAATTTGCTCTCCGCTGTGGCTTTCCAGATCTCCTGATCACCTTAATTCTTTTCTGGACTTTCTCTTGGCCATTGAAGGCACAGGTTCTGTTTCTGCTTGTCACTCAACCTTCTCTGCAAACATAGAGAGTCAAAAAGTGTCATAAGAGTCTGGCCACCCCCACTGGACCAGAGGACACTCTAGGGTGGTGCAGGGCAGGTCCATCCACAGCCTGCTGTGTCTCTATTTAATACAAGAGGCCTCTGCCTCCTGTCCTCTTCATCCAACTCTCTGCAACTTTTCAGCAGGCTCTGTCTGAGGTCCTGATTGGTCTCGGTTCCCTTAGCCTTTGGTCTTGTTAGCACCGCCTGGGGATTTCTTAGCATCTGTCTTAGTCGGCTCAGGCTGCTATAATAAAGTATCAAACACTGGGTGGCTTCTAAACAACAGAAATGTATTTCTCACAGTACTGGAGGCTGGAAGTCTGAGATCAGGAAGCCAGCATGACTGGGTTCTGGTGAGGGCTCCTTGCAGGTTGCAAACTGCCAACTTCTTGCATCCTCATGTGGCGGAAAAAATAACGAGAGCGCTCTCTGCGGCCCCTCTCATGAAGGCACTAGTCCCGTTCCTGAGGGCTCCACCCTTGTGGCGTGGTCACCTCCCAGAGGCCCCACCTCCTCATACCACCACATGGGGGGTCAGGATTTCAACATATGAATTTGGGGGGGACACAGACGTTCAGTCCATACCATATCCTGTTGGGATTTTCTTCCATTATTTTTCTTTCTTTTTTTCTTTTTTCTGTTAACCTCTGTACAACATAAGGTGAAACAAAACTGATAATAAAGTGAGAAGCAAGGGAAGGGATGCAAAGTCCACTGAGCACCGTAGAACACAAGCGGCGATGTCCCAGGGGCTGGGCCTCCCCCTCGCTGCCGATTTCTGCATGGAAACCCCTGTGGGACTGCTGGGAGGGATGAGAGAAGTGCCATAAAAGACCAGAGAGCACTGGGGGGACCCAGCGGGTGTGACACTGCCTCTGCATTTGGAGAAGATTGTCCATTAAGCATAACTCGTTTAACGTTCGGATTGGAGGTGGCTCAGATAGAGAATCAGCACAAAGTTGGTAAATAGAAAATCAGGACCTGAAAAGGGAGGAGGAAGCTGGGCCATCGTCTCCCGGGCGAGGGCGAACAGTGCGCAGGCCAGCCAGGCACGGCAGCGAGGCATCGTCACCAGGGAGGGCAGTCGGGGACACACAGGAGCCTCAGTGTCAAGTCCAGATGGAGCTGGCCGGTTAGCTCGGTTGGTTAGAGCACAGTTTGGCAACACCGAGGTCACGGGTTTGGATCCCCATCCCACCAGCCGCCAAATAACCAGAGGGAATGAATGGGGGAGCAGCCAGAATTGAACCTGGAGCAGAAAGTCTGACTCCAAGGTCGTGCCCCCAAAACAGGCAGAACAGGCCAGAAAAACTGAAGACTGAGCCAGGCAAGCTTCCCCAGAACTCTGCCCTTTCCAGGACACTCTGGCCAAGGCAGGAAAGAAACTGCTGAGGGCTGTGAGCTGTCTTGGGGGAGCGAACAAGCCCCCACGAGAGCAGGGGCAGCTCTGCGCTCCCGACAGAAGAGAGGGCCCGCTCGCCAGCACCCAGCAGCTTCTCCTAGAGACTCCATGTGGGAGACACCACGTGACACGGTGACACCGTGGACAATACCCTCAACTTCAGTTTTACAGGAAACGCCCCTTACCAATAGCTTCTAACAACCTCCAATGAAGCGCAGAGGCTTAATATGAAAGAGGGCTCGGTGGGGTCCCTCTGCCAGGGATAAGCTGACGGGCTGGGGGCTCCCTGCAGGACTCACAGCGCGAGGCTTCTCCTGAGCTCTCTCCATGAAGGGCAGCCCTGCTTGGGCCCTCTGGGGACAGGGATTGGGTAGTCGGTGGGGACAGCTTGTTGTGATGTTAGGCGTAATCACGAAAGCAGCACAGTACTGATCCAGCCCCGGGAAAGTCCCGCTTCTCTTGCCCAATCACAGCCCCCGATAGAATCTCCATCTTTCCTTTGGAATCAGAGGGTGAGAAGCAAAGAACACAGACCCCTGACCTTGACTCTTCTGGGGGTGAAGAGGAAAGAACTGGACGCTGGAACCGGGCAGGTGAGGACACAGCTGCGCCGGGAGCCGCGGTCCCGGAGTCTTCTCTCCCGAGGCTCTCTGGCCACTGCGAAGTCCCTCGAGGAGTCCGTCCTGACTGTGTGACAGTGCAGTGAAGAGCTCACTGTGCCGTTGCCTCGGAGCAGCTGCCATTCTGGTCTCTGAGCCCTGCTGAAGGACAGCTTTATTGCTTTTCATCACTTTGGGGTTCATATTTTCTCTGCAGCTGTACTCTCCGTAAATGTGATGTTGAGATTATTTTATGTAATTCCATTTCTGATGTCCTGTATGATTTTTAAGGATGATTGCTTGATACGCGCAGGCAGTGTCTGCAAATGGCAGCCATAAAAGGAGATGACAGCAAACCGTTTCACTTTCCTCTCCTGCCTGCCGCACACTGAAGAGTGAGGTGGACCACTGGTGTTGAGTGTTTTAGACCTCACCTTTTCCCACGGACCTCCCCGATACACCAGCCACGTTCATCCAACACTCTCACACACTCCCTTCCTGAATTAGAAAAAACAAAATCATAGTCAGGAGGTCATTTCTGTTCAGAACGCCCCCAGCCCAAGGTAGCAGCTCCGAGGCCACCATGGCTGACCAAATGCCAGCCTAGGAGGACAGCGGGCAGCTCTGATGACATCTCTCCCAGTCCTTGCCCGCAGGCACGGGCCGCTGCTTGTGGACGCGCATCTGTAACCCTGTGTGTGTGTTCCACAGTCCTAGGAGAGTGGCAGAAGAGAGGCGGGCAGCCCTGGCAGCTCATTGAATCAGTGGACGGATTCCACCCCAACGAGGTAAGCACAGTCACACGGGGGTGACCGCGGGCCGTCTGCTTGTTATGCATCTGTGTTCGCTTTTGCCCCATTTTGTTCCAGGGGGGAAAAAAATGAGATCACATACACACACACACACGTAAGACAAGATTCAATAAAAATGAAGTGAAAATCAAGGTAAAAGGAAAATAAGGTGGAAATGATACCAGGTTTCCTAACTTAAATTCTACAATTCATAAAATGTGTGCAGGGCAGTCCTGGGAATTGCCAGAGGTAGCCTGCAAAATCGGCTCTATGCTTTCTAGTGGCCGAAGCAAAGAAGGAATAAGTCATAGCACCCATAAGATAAAAAATAAAATCACAGAGATTCCTGGAAGTACGGCCTGTGAGAAGTTTCTTCTATGGGTCTTTCCGGAAAGGATCTTGTATGAGAAGAAAACAGCGTCCTTAGCTATATCCTGCAGTAAGAGCTGCTTCTCATCTAGGATGAATCTAAAGTGCAATTCTGTAAAGCAGCTCTGCGCTGGCCTCTGCACAAAGCAAGGGGAGCTGGAGGGTGGGACTCTGTCCCCTCCCGTCCCCACCCACATGCCATTATCCTGGCTTCAACCAGAGAAGCTCCACTTTTATCTGTTCTATATGCTGGACTTGCTCCAAAAGAAGAAAGACAAATGGGGGAGCAGTTCTGCCACTTTTAAAATTTTGAAAGCTGGTCCTCTGCTGGGCAGGATGGACTGCGGACTCCTAGGCAACCCTCTGAGCCAGTGGTGAGGACATGCATGCGACCTCAGCAGCCCTCCCAGGGGCACTGCCTAGGGGCCTGGGTCTGCGTGCTCAGCGGGCTGCGGACGAAAGGAGGGCTGGTCATGCGCTCGCACGCCCGGGAGGGACCCCAGCCGCCTTCCCGCAGCTCAGGGCTGGCGGGTGCCCACGGGCAGGGCTCAGAATCATCTCGGAGAGAGAGGAAAGAAAGGTGCCAGCCCCGACCGAAGGATACAGTGGAGCCCCACGAGTGCTGCGTAGATTTTAAAGTGAGTACGAAGTGCTCACCTCAGTGTTGAAGGCGGCCACGCACACACAAGTCTGGGTGATGCCTCTCGGAACACCAGACCGCCCTGCGTGTCAACCGGACGAGTTGATCAGAGCCTTGGCTGGAAGCCAGCTCAATATTAAGGCCTGGTCCCCCCAAAATGGTGTCTGGTTTTAGAATAAGGTGAAGCCCTTCTTTCTGGCAATAATCAGACAGAAGTTCTTGTCGTAGTCTGCACATAGGAGAATTTTACCTTCTGATTCTGTAGAGTGTGGGGACATGAAAAGACAGTCAGTGGTGTGTCAATTAGGAACAAACTAAAAAAAGAAGGTTGAAGACAGCCTTGTTTTATCCCCTAGGACGTATCTGTGTGATCTATCAAATGACCATCCTGTCCCTGACTTTTAAAATAATATTAGCCTTCAAAGTCTGTCAAATTGGAGGTCAGTCTTGCACTCAAACAGCTTTACTTAAAAGTGGTTGCTGAAAACAGAGTCAAAAGCTGAAGCTTGGTATGTGCCATCTTCTTACGCTGTTCCTGCAAGATTTGTTCATACGCTGGTAGCGGGGGAATCGAGTGGCCAGCGATGGAAGGCAGGCCTGGAGCCTGCCCACCTGTCATGGAGAGTGAGCACAAGTCCAGATGGCAACCTGCCCTCCAAAAATACTTACCGAGTGCTACCCAGTGTCATGCACAGTGAGACTTCAGGACTGAACGAGAAACCACCCCTGCCATTTCAGCCTAGAGCAGAGTAGGGGACAATTAAATATGGAGTGACAAATGCCTCCACCTGTGCAGGACAAAATGCCATGGCAGCATGAAGCAGGTGGATGGGAGAGGCATTGGGAAAGGTTTTTCCAGAGGAGGCCAAGTGAGAACCGGGACCTTGAACCAGCGCAAGGCAGGGCAGGGCTGGGGAGGGGCTGCGGGGAGTGTGTGGCAGAGGAAAGCGCAGGTGCAGCGACCTGAGCGAAAGCGGGCACGTGGGAGGAAATAACGAGCCTCAGTGGGGTCCAGGGCAGGACAGCGGGGCTGAGAGGGAGGAATCTGGAGAAGTGCTCAGGGCCAGACCGTGTAAGGCCTGGATGGGGTTTGACCTCGTTCCTGGGGAATAGGGAGCCTCTGCAGGGTTTTAAGCAATAAAGAAACAGCCGGACTTGTGTTCTTAACACATATGTGTGGTGGCCATGTGGAGAATGACTTGGCAGGGGCCAGTCCAGAGGGACCAAGAAAAGTGGAAGGAAAGTTTGCCTTAGAAAAGAAACAATCATGCAAAGAGTCGACAGTAAACAGGAAGTGTTGGAAGAGCCACAGATGTGCACAAAGCCGCTTCCCCAGCCACCGCTGGCCCACCCCTCAAAACGCCCCTGACACCTCCTGCCCTAGAAGCTTCCCCCAAGCCACCATCTCTGCAAAACAACCTCCGCTCCTCTCACCACTCCTGCAGCAACTCAAACCATCCTCTAAAACTCTTACTGCAAGCAAAGAAGCTCCATGACACCAATCCCCCTGCCCTCTCCTCAGCTCTGAACCTGTGCACTGCTGGAGACAGACAGGGCATGTATAATCAATGGATTTGTTTTAAATAGCTTCATAGCCTCCAGGTCTCCATTTAGAACCAAAGGCCCTGGGCAGACTTGCAGAGCCCTTCAAAGAAGAAAGCCGTGCGGCAGTGGGCGTGGGAGGAGGGAGATCACTCTGCTCTGGGACCCCTCAACGCCCTTCACAAGCAGCCGCCTCAGGCCGGCCCTGCCCACAGAGCAGAGGCCACGTCTATTTAATCTGCTTCATGCACAGCCAGCAGCCATCGTTTTGGTGATGATCACACTGGCTCAGCCTAGAGGGAATGGCACTGGGGATGTCTATTTTTCCTTAAATGTAATTGTTTAAATACATCTTACACCACTGTCATGATTTAAGTTTGCAGATTCAGAATTAATTGGGAACAAACATAACCAGGTGCAATAGACGGTGGTTCTGGCATGTGAGGAGGGCAGGAGAAAGCTTTGCCTTTCTGTGGGAAGGGCTTCCCTGCAGATGCTTAAAAGCAGTCTTCCTAAGACAGCCTGGGGGTGTTCTTCCTGCAGGAAAAGTAAGTTCAGAGCGGATTTCTGACTTTGATCTGGTAGAAACCCAGAGTTAAATTTAGCAAGAGTTCAACTTAAAAGGTATTGAGCCATTATAAGTTTTTGGTGAAATATAACCTGTATAACCTTGCTCTGAATCGCATTTATTCTTTAAAAAGATTACAAAAAGGTAGTTATTGTTTAGGATTTGTTTTTACGGTGGTTTTCCTAAAGATTTCTACTTTTAGAGTCAAATAAGTGCAATTAGCTTATGAAGGGGAGTGTGAGAAACTTCCAGAGTCCATCGAGCTATGGCCACTGCTGGGATCCTGTCACGTCCAGGCCTGTCTCAGGAACTTGTGGGGTAGACCCAACATAGGTGTGTTTGCTTGGAGAACTGGAGACCCTCTTGGGTGAGTCAAAACCTGGCTAGGCCAGGAAGTGTGGCTCAATTTAAAAGTTGTTATCAGAGGGGAGGAGCAATTCTGAAAGCTGAATGGTGGCTGTCATCAAGGGCTCAGTCAAGAAACTTCCCCACCTGCCTGCCCCCTCTTCCTCCCCCGTAGACTCAGGCCCAAATGCTAGGGAGATCAGAGCCTGTGAGGGAAAAAGCAAGAGCTGTTTCACCAAAAGATGTAGGACAGTGGGGTGTCCAGTCGTCCTGCTCGTCACTTCTGTGACAATGTTAGAGAACAGCAAGGCCTTCCCAGTGGATCACCGGGAGGGCTTCCGAGCAGCAGCAGCAGACAGGTGAGGTGGCAGTGCCCACAGAGGCACCACAGCCACCTCAGGGGCGCCCATCAGCTGTGGCCTTGCCCAAAGGAAGGGGCCACGCCGGCTACAACCAGCAAAGTGCCTGGGCACAAGCGGTGCTGCCCACACGGCAGCTGTCTGGGCTCAGCAGCCAGGGCCCTGCACTAGCATAGAGCCAGCCGAGTCAGTGACATAGTGTCCCTCCTGTCCAGTGACTTCCTTCTAACCCCACAGAGGTGTCTGCAGAAGCGTGAGTTACTGCAGAACCCTGTTGCTCAAGTCTCCAGGTCTGAATTGAGCCTGTCTGCTGAGCTGCCACTAAATCCATGAAAAGCCCCCATTGCCAGATGCCCAGAACTGCACCTTTAGAACCCACAAGTAAATAACAAGTCTCGGAAGAAGTGGTTCTTGAACTACCGCCAGCACCAGAATCACCCAGGGTGCGGTGGGGAGCTGTGAAAAAGGTGGGTCCCCCGGCCCCACCTTCAGATGTTCTGACCCAGGGGTTGTGTGGAGCCAGAGAAGGTGCTCTTTCAGTAAACATGCTCAGTGATGCTAAAGCACAGGTGTGCCAGGCACAATCTGAAAAATCCTGTCCTAAAGGCTTGTCCTTCATACCAAATGTGTGGATTGTCTGTAAATCTAAAAGGAAAACAGCACCATGTGCATGCTGGGCTATGAAATATTAATGCTAACTCTGTCATATCCTAGTGAAAAGAAAAGGCAGGCATTGAAAAGTTTGTTCTGGGGAGCAACAAAAAAGGAAAGTAAAAACAACTTGCAAAACCTTTAGGATAATTGTATTTTAAAAAAAAAAATCTAAATGACCAAGCACAGAGCCGAAGGACAGGAAGGCAAGTTTTTATCAGAGATTTCATTCAAGAGATCATACTCACGTGCTTCCTGGAGTCAGTGTAGATTCTGCCCAAGCCCCTCTCCAGTTCTCAACAGCGGTCACAGGCCATCAGAAGGATGGCTCTGCACACTCCAGATCACCAAGCGATTAAACAAAACATTGTGCCGTATTACAAGAAGCTCGCTTCAACTCAGAAACTGCTCTGGCTTTACTGTGCTATGAATTGGATATGTTTATATGAAACTTAACAAGAAAGTGGACTCTGAAAGATTTTCAACTACAAAGGAAGAAATGTGGAAGTGTCTAGCTCAGTTAACCAGCAGATCCCACGTAATCAGAACAGCCCCTTCCCTAGCATTCTGCAGGACCAGATTCCATTCCACGCATGTGTGTAGCAGGTTAAGCAAGCGAGCAAGGCAGCCTGTGGACCCCCCCATGCCGCTGAGTGTGTGCATGGCAGGAGGAGGGTGTCTCTGTCCCCTGTCCTGAGGACAAATGCTAGGGGTGTGTGTGACAGAGGCTTCCACTGGTAAAATAAATTAGCTTGCGTCTATCTGATGGCATACCATGCATCAACTAAAAACAGTGATATAGATCTACCTCAGTGGCACAGAAATATGTTTGTAATATAGAACAAAGTAAATAAGAGCCGGCTGCAGACCGGGGGGCGATTACACACCTGCATGCATGTGTCAGTACTCACGCGACTGTTTACCAAAAGAGTTGATTTTACTGTGTGTAAAGTACACCTGTAAAAGACTAGATTATAAAATAATATTCATAGAGGGATCCTCTGCGTGTACGTATTCTAATATAAAACCAGAAAGGCCCTAGACCCAATGTTAGCGAAGGCTACCTCGATTATAATTACAGATGACTTTAATGCTGTTTTTCTCTGTTTAATTTTTTTGCCTTTTTAAATTTTTCTAGAACAAATAGGTATTGCTTTAATATTTTAAACTAGGACTAGAGAAACATGGAAGAGTATCTGTGTTCAAGAAACAACTGATTTGGAATAGAGAGTAAAGGATGCCATGCTGCCCCCTGCAGTGTACCACGGGGTTGCAACAGGAAGTCGCTGTACAGGGGCTCAGTAAATAACTGTGAAATGAATGAATAAACGAATGAATAATCATAGTGCATCACTTTCTCACAAGCCTCTAGTTTAGTAATAACCATGCCGCTGTCATTCTAGACCCAACATTTTAGCATAACGCACATAAATATTTCAGTCTCTGTTAGAGCGACAGCCACCTAATTGCTCCCAATCCAGCTGCCGCGTGCTCAGCTCTGAGCTCCTCCGCCTTCGTTTCCTTCTCCTTCCCTCATCCCACCTCCTCCCTTGTTAACATAGACAGGGAGTAAATGCCCACAGACGCCTTGGTGCCACATAGTTGTTAGAAAGACAGCTTAGGTGAATCAAGTTGAAAGCCAATAAAACAAAAAACAACCAGTAATTTTCTAGAGACCTGGCAGTGCCTCCTTTGTTGAGAAATGGCAGGAAAAACAGCCACAAGACCAGGCCTCTGTCTTCAACGATTCTGATGACTTTATGTAAGAGATGATCCGACCCTTCCTGGGGAACCAGCCCACTTGAAGGGCAGCCTCTGACTTGCCCCTGCTTTTAAGTGCAAAGAAGTGTGTGGGGGGGGGGGGGGGGGGGGGGGGGGGGGGGGGGGGGGGTGATGTGTGTGGTGTGCGTGAGACATGTGTGTGGGGTGTATATGCTG